GGGGTGAGCTAGCCGCCCGGAAGAAAAACCCCCAAAAAAAAAAAAAAAAAAAAAAAGAAAGAATATCTATAAATATCTATAGCAAACAGTAAACACAATGATGAATTATTTGATATTAATCCATGTTTATCTTCCCAGCAATGAATTTCCTAAACAATCAAATATTTCAGAGTGTGTGTTGCAGCATATTTGAAAGTGCAAATGAGTTTTATTGACCATCAGATACATGTACATATTTACAAATTCTTTTTTTTTCTATCATGCATGCTTCTAAAAGCACTTAGCCAAGTATTATTTAATCCAAATAAAGGATCTGCTTTTATCTTAGAATTGTTAAACTATTGTACAGGTGTGTTTCTGCATTGTACCCCAAGTCTTTGTCTTTATATAGTGTTAGAACCAGGTTTCATTACCTCCAGTAGTCCTCACTGTACCCAGTAACAAAACAAAGATATCCATTATCACCACTTCTGGTAAACATTGCATATGAGGAAGATCCTAGACAGGGCAATAAGGGAAAAAATGCAAAAAATCGGGAAAGAAGAAATAGAATGTTCTTCTTTCATAGACAATGTAATAGTACATATCTAGGCAATCCTAGATAATCTGTACAAAATTATTATCGATATTATAATAAGCAACTTTATCAAGGACATTAAATACAAGATCACATAGAGAACTCAATTGTTTGAATATTGACATTATTTAACTTTTCTTTAATAATATCTTTTCAGTACCAATTTTATGTTTAGAAACAGAAATCAGGTCTGTCTTCCAAAAAGATTTAATTCTGAAAGTTCAAGGGGTCTCAGACCTGCATAACTCCTGTTGTACCTATAAAACATTATGCCCTCAGGAATCTTTGAGTGTAACAAGGGACAAAACAGTTTCTAACACAACTCCCAGTGCTTCAACTGGTGTCCTAAGTGCCCTGACTTTTAAGTCTCCTTTTTCTCATATTGTAAACACACACACACACACACACACACACACACACACACACACACACGGGAAATTACTTCTCCTCTGAGGCCACCAGTAGAAAGACACCATTAATAGCTTTTTCCCTAACTCCTCAACTTCAGACTACATCACACACAACACATATACTCTCTCTCTCTCTCTCTCTCTCTCTCTCACACACACACACACACACACACACACACACACACACAGGCACAGAATAGAAATGTTTCCTTCTGCACTTGTCTCCCAAGGTCTCAGTATTGGTCCTATATTTATCCTGCAATGCCTACAGCATCGTGTAGGCATGACTATAACTGAATCTGTGGGTATGTCTTCAGTTTTTTGAAGAACTCCGGCAGCTTTCAGGGTGAGCAGATTTTTTAATTGGGATTACATTCTTTTTATTAAAGAAATGAGTACAGATTATTAGGAGGGTGGATGAATAAGAGAGTGATCAGGTAGGATTATTCTCCTAACATTTATAAAGGCACATCATACCTTGCTATAAGATTGCTTTCACATACTGGCTTCTTTGCTCCATGTTCACTTTGGACAAAACATTCACATTTCAATTACCAAAACACAAGCCTGTGGGGAAAATTCAAAAAAGAGACATTATAATTCCACTGGCTATAAGAGCTAAAAAATGCACTTCTGAGAGAAAAGAATGTATCTTGATGTGGGAGAAAAGAGAAGAGTGATGACAGCCTCATTCCATAGTTTTCTCTGGTTCTTGTTTACTCTTTTATGGAGTTGCTTCCACTTTACGTAAGAGCTCTGATATTTGAATTATTTATCAATTCAAAAGGCCCCTAGAGTTTATCTTTCAGCTTTAATCTTTTAAAAAATAAGGACATAGAATTGTATAAAGGACATATGTGAAAAAAAGGTCACTCAACCTTAAATTTCCAATAAGAATACTCCTAGAGTGACAGGGGTTCATCTCCAATAGGTCCAGAGGTCCTATAATTGTCTACACTGATAATTTTTAAACAGAGTCTTTTGTTTTTTTTCTGCAGTGCCCTTTTTAGGACTGCTTCCTTTTTCATTCTATTTGCTCCTTTTATTTACTTATTCTTTTTGAATCAATGCATGGCTCAGTGTAGCCCATTTCATCAGACATGTATATCCTATTTGCACTCCAACTATGATCACAACTTTGTTCTTGTTGTCTTACAACATAATTCCACACTAGATATTTTCCTCCTTACTACTTATGTCTTGTCAGTCCTTGTTCCATCACAGTCTCTTTTTCTAAGCATTTCAAAACCATACTGTGTATCTCCTTTTTACCAGAAAGCTTTGGCAATTACATAGCTTGGCAAATATATTCTATGACTCGCTGAAGTTGTGCTGTGGGTAGAAAATAAAATGCCATGTTCTAACGGGAATGTCAATTGATTTATTTTAAGATGATAGACATCTTTATTCTCATTGAATTGAACTCTAGAGTTTATTCATCTGTACTGTAATCTTAGTTAAACACTGGCTTCTAGGCCAGTGGGTGGTATGGAGGTTAAGGCAGCAGGATCCTACGTGCTCAGATGCACAGTTCAAGTCCTAGACCTAGCAGCTTGAAAATCATGCATGCCCCAAATACCACAAAGAATATAAACAAGAAGAGACTGAGGTATGTCCATCCACTTTGGGTGGTGATTTCTTACTTTCTCTCCCTCTCTCTTGCCCTAAAAAAAAGAAAAAAAAAGAAAGAAAGAAAACACTGGCATCTTATATAATTACTGCATTTCCACTTAATACTCTTACACTTGATCAACTATTTGTAGTGGTACTGATCAAATAGGTGGCTTTTTGATAATATTAGAAAGCAGATTATTATTAATTTTTACCCTTGAGAGCTTTCTATCATTTTGTTTAAAGAATGCTATTGGTACAAAAGGATGCTTTACATGTTTCTGCATTTAAAGTCCTTACAAACCAAAAAGGGGAGTTTGGGACTAAAGCTAGATTCAAGTCACTTTCAGTAAGTCCAATAAGTAAGACTGATGAGTTCTGAACAAGTGAGCCCATAAGAACTATTGAAGTTCCTTAATATTTTAGAGTAAATTATGCATGTCTGCCTAAGATGTTAAGCACTTGGAACACAGAAAATGCTTCATCAGTCCTTGATCATCTGGTTGTTCTGTTAGTGAACTAAATTCAGCCTGGAGAATGGACTACATAAGAAAAGACCCTCGACACATCCTGAGCCAGATATGTTTACTAGACTCAGTTTATCTCATCAACATTTAATGCTTAAGGTATGGACTCAGGCAAAATACATCACATATGAAACCCAAGAGAACATCTAGGTCATTAATCTGCATGAAAGAGAAACTAACATTGGGGGGGGACAGTTTTCTTGTCAGTTGCTCTTTAAACATGCCTTGTTTTGTTTTCTGCTTTCAAAGGCAATTGTCTGCTATAACATGAACTTCCGACTGCCATTATGTCATTTCTAAATGGCAGCAGCCTAACACCAGCTTCTTTTTTCATTCCTGGGCTGGAAGAAGTGCATCTGTGGATCTCCTTCCCCCTGTGTACCATGTATAGCATTGCCATTATGGGGAACTTTGGCCTTATCTATCTCATCTACAGTGAAGAGGTCTTACACAGACCCATGTACATCTTCCTAGCCCTTCTTTCCTTCACAGATGTGCTCATGTGCACCAGCACTCTTCCCAACACTCTCTGCATATTGTGGTTCAACCTTAAGGTGATTGACTTTGAGGCCTGCCTGGCCCAGATGTTCTTTGTGCACACCTTCACAGGGATGGAGTCTGGGGTGCTCATGCTCATGGCCCTGGACCGCTATGTGGCCATCTGCTACCCTCTGCGCTATGCCACCATCCTCACCCATTCAGTCATTGCCAAGGCCGGGCTCCTCACTTTACTTAGAGGTGTGATGCTTGTTATCCCTTTCACTTTCCTCACCAAGCGTCTGCCCTACTGCCGGGGCAACATCATACCCCACACCTACTGTGACCACATGTCTGTGGCCAAGATATCCTGTGGGAATGTCAAGGTCAATGCCATCTATGGCCTGGTGGTTGCTCTCCTGATTGGAGGCTTTGACATCCTGTGTATCACAGTCTCCTACACCATGATCCTCCAGGCAGTTGTGAGACTATCATCAGCAGATGCTCGGCAGAAGGCCTTCAGCACCTGCACTGCCCATATCTGTGCCATAGTCATCACCTATGTCCCAGCCTTCTTCACCTTCTTTACACACCGTTTTGGGGGACATACTATTCCTCCCCACATTCACATTATTATGGCTAATCTCTATCTACTCATGCCTCCCACAATGAACCCTATTGTGTATGGGGTAAAAACTAAGCAGATACGAGAAAGTGTTATTAGATTCTTCCTTAAGGGAAAGGACAGTTCTCTTAATATTTAGGGAACTATTTCTGAGATTTTGGAATTCCCTTAATCAGACTGAGATCATTAAATCAACAGGGGACCCTCCAGGTGAAAACAGATGTCTAGCCACAGAAAATATTTACATATGACTTAGATTCTTCTATCTTTTTTGAAAGGGTGCCACATGTCTGTATAAATAAAGATCCTCTCTTATGAAATTTAATGTATTTCAAAGCCTTTTTAGTCACAGAAGACTTTAAAGTTCCATGCATTTAATCATCATAGACAGACCTCTCACTCCTGAATGACAATCTACAAAATTTGACATACCAATGTTTGGGCCACTAAGACTACAGTGGAACTTTTCTGAAATATTTAAACACTGGCAAAACTTAGCCATGTTCGCTGATATCTGCACTAATTTAGTTATCTCAGTATTCTCCTGCCAAAATTATTTGCAGTTCATTCTTATCTCACATTCTTATCTCCTGTTTTCTAACCTAACTTTGCCAGCTGTATTATCCAGTAGTAATACATATGTCCAACAGAAAATAAGTAAAAGATGGAAATTGCAGCTTATTTGTAATACCCAGAAGTTAGAAATAACACCAAGCTCCATCAACATTAAGCAGCATGAATATAGGAACCAGCAGATGGCATAATGGCTATGTTGTTGGATGTAGTCAACTGTGGTTCAAGTCCTAGACAAGGTGGCTTAAACTCACGCCAAGCATGTGTGCATGTGCATGAGAGGAGAATGGAAAAGAAGGGATTGCAGTGTGGCCATACCCCCTGGGGGGTAATTTCTCACTTTCTGTCTCTCTGTCTCTCTCCGACTTTCTGGCAAGCACACACGCCCTATAACAAAAACCTCTCAAAAAAAAAAAACTGCAGAAATATAATTGTGGTCTATTCAAATATAATATTGAGCAAAAAAGAAAAAGAATATATCCGTATATCTTCATTTATATAAAGTGAAGAATAAACTGAAACCAATTTATGGTTTTAGAAACAGGTAATGTTTACCTTTGGGGATGAGAGACCAGGTAATGAGGGGTGCTTTTGAGTTATTATCATTGAGTAGTTCTAGACCTAGATGAAAATTAAAGGGTATATAAGTCTGGTGATAATTTATGAAGCTGTCACATATGTGTGCTTTTTCTACATGCATATTATACTTCAGTAAAATATTTATTTAGAATAATGTGTCTTCAGCACACACTTTGATAACTGTAAAACATTCCTTATGCCTTTGATGCTCTCTATGGCTTACAAAGTATACATGCCTTTTTTGCTTTAGACCTATGTTAAATGTATATAAATAATATGTGAATATTTACGCAAATTATAACAGAAAAAATCATAAAAAATAAAACCCTCCATCTTGAAAATGTCTTCTGCCAAGTTCCTTTTCAGAAATGAGCCCTTAAAAATTATTTTGAGTGGACATATATGCTTTTGTTTTTGTTTATGATGATTAGAATTACTCTAAATTATGTATGAATTTTAGTTAGATTACAAAATATGCTATTATACACAATAAAGATTTAACTCAACTTCTTTTATCTGTCATCTGCCTTCTCCTTCAAAATATTTTATATTTATATACATATATATGTATAACCAAATCGGAAGTTTTTTTTCCATTTCTTCCAACTTCAATAATAATTGGGGGGACCAGCAGTTAGCGTAATGGCTATGTCGCTGGACTCCCACATAGTCGACCGCGGTTCGTGTCCCGGACCCGGTGGCTTAAAACTCACGCCGGGCACGTGTGCGTGCGTGCCCAAGATCCCGAGAGGAGAATGGAGGAGAAGGGATTGCGGCGTGACCATCCCCCCTGGGGGGTGATTTCTCACTTTCTGTTTCTATGTCTCTCTCTGTCTGTCTGGCAAGCGCACGCGCCCTATAGTGAAAATCTCTCCAGAAAATAATAATAATAATAATAATAATAATAATTGGTTATATTTTTATTTTCATTTTATTTTATTTTTAATTTGTCATAGGGCACATGCAGTCACCAGAGAGAGAAGAGAGAGTGATAGAGAGACAAGGCACCCCCAATACCATGTGGTCACACTATAATCCCTTCTTCTCCATTTCTCTTAGCTTTGAGGATTCGGAGCATACACACATATGTGCTAGATGTGTTTTTCGAGTTACTAGGATAAGTACTTGAACTGTGCAGAAGGTCATGTCAGATTTAGCTTCCTTAACCACCAGGCCATGGAGCCAGCACAGTCAATTATATTTTTAAGTTTCTGTTCTCTCTCTCTCTCTCTCTCTCTCTTATATATATATATATATATATATTTAAGTTTCCTTTAGGGTGTGTGCTCTTGCTGGAGAGAAACAGAGAGAACGTGAGAAACCATTTCCCCAGGTAGATGACCACACCATAAACTCTTCTCTTCCATTCTCCCCTTGGCATTGTGGACACACAGACATACATGCCCAGCATATTTTTCAAGCTGCCTTGTTACAGAATTCTAATTATACAGTTGCCCATGTGTGATACAGCTGCCTTAACCACCATGGCACCAGCCGGCTTTAATTTTCTGTTCTTAGGGTTATTAGCATTAGCTTTGATTCTGAAAATATTCCAAATCCATTTATAATTCAATTGTAATAATTGAAAACTAATAAATTGTATTTTAATTGCTATAATTATATGATTATTAATATGAATATTGAATATGAATGTTGATCATTTTACAGCCAAGTCAGGCTTTTATTTCTTTCTCTAGTCATTCAATATTGTCATCCTTATTATTCTTTTTTTTAAGTTTGTTTGTTTATTTATTTGAGTGGAGGGTGGGAAGACTGCACCCCCACAAAATCTTTGTTTTTTCTTTTTTTGGAGAGGTTTTTGGTTTAGGGTGCATGCACTCGCTCGCCAGAAAGACAGAGAAGGACAGAGAGATAGAAAGTGAGAAATCACCCCCCCAGAGACGGTGGCCACACTGCAATCCCCTCTCCTCCCTTCTCCTCTCGGGATCTTGGGCACGCACGCACATGCACCCAGCATGAGTTTAAGCCACCAGGTCTGGGACTCGAACCGTGGTCGGCTACATCGGAGTTCAGCGATATAGCCATTACACTAACTGCTGGTCCCCCATCCATATTATTCTTGAAGTGTATTTCCAGTATCAATATTTTTCAGAGATACCTGAAAATATATTGTACTAATTAAACATGAACAGGACTTCTATGCAAAAGAAACAAGGAGACAATGAGAAAATAGCTTTTATAACATAAAAACAAGTGATGTCAAAAGTATCTAAGAAAATAAAAATGAAATTATAAAGATTTTTTTTAAGAAAAGAAAATCCAAAGGTAGAGAGATATAAAACAGAAAAGAAAATTAAAGACATATGGATTATCTATCCAGGGCACAAATAATTGCCTTTTAGGATTAATAATTGCCTTTTAGGATTCCCATTAAAGGAAAAACTTGTAAAAACAAAATAAATAATTTGTCAAAACTGCTAAACATTAACTTTTTTTTTCCCTGTAGAGTATGTGGCTTGTTAGAGTGAGACAAAGTGAAAAGGAGAGGAGAAAGCATCCACCTATAGGAAATGGTCATACCTCAATCCCTTCTCCTCCATCCTTCACTCCTGTTCAGATTTTGGGCACACGAGTGCCTGGCATGTTCTCAAGATTCTGGCTCCAGTACTTGAACCACATAGTCAGCCATGTAGGACCCAGCTGTCTCAACCACCAGAGCTAACCTCAGAGCCAACCTTAATTAATGTTTTCTATAACCAACTTCGAAACCAACCTTTTCAGATATATGCCCACATAATTATAAAAAACTAGTTCTAGAAGACTCAAACCAGAAGATATCACTGTGAGAATATATGATTTACTCAGCAAATGCAATATATAGTATATTATTGTTAATTATAGCCATCACATTATACATTAGGTTTTTAGAACTTACTTATTTTATAATTGCAAGCTTGTACTCTTTGGCCTATATCTCCCCATTTCACTTACTTACCTGGTCCCCTTCTATTCTCTGGATTTTTAAAAATTTCACCTATGTGTGAAATCATGAAGTACTTCTCTTTCTGTATCTGGTTTATTTCATTTGGCATGATATCTTTCTGGTTCAACCACATTGGCATGTATGGTAGGAATTCCTTTTTTGAAAGGCTGAGTAATATTCTAGTATATGAATATACCACATTTTCTTTTTCCACACGTCAATTGACAGACACTTGCCAGGAGGAATACAGTCTTTCTTTATTTTAATTCATCATTACAGTTTTATTTCCATTTTATTGACAGGAATTTTCTTGGATAAATATATATTTTTTAGTTTTTTGGCATAGGACACATGTGCTTGTTAGAGAGAGATAGTAGGAGGAAAAGTGTGAAACAAACCACCCTCCCTCCCCAAGGAGGATGGCCATGCCTTCCTCCTCAATTCTCTTCCTGGGATTTTGGGCATGAATGCAAATAAGCCCGTCATGATTTTCTTTTTTTTTTTTTTTTTTTTTTTGGAGAGGTTTTTGCTATAGGGTGCGTGGGCTCGCAAGAGAGACAGAGAGACAGAGAGACAGAAAGCGAGAATTCACTCCCCAGGGGGGATGGCCATGCCACAATCCCTTCTCCTCCATTCTCGTCTTAGGATTTTGGGCACGCATGCACACGCACCTGGTGTGAGTTTAAGCCGCCGGGTCTGGGACTCGAACCATGGTCAACTACATGGGAGGTCAGCAACATAGCCATTATACTAACTGCTGTTCCCAGCCCATTATGGTTTTCATTCTGCTGGGTCTAGGACTCATATCACAGTCGTCTATGTGAATGTCCAACATCATAATTACCATGCTACCAGTTGAGCCCAGACAAATAATTTTATAAGTCATTTGAATAAGCCCTACTCAAAGTATGACTAAGAATTTATTTATCCTTATTTAAAAAGCAGAGACCAAGAATCTACAATGCCTGTCAAAATTAATAAAATTCAGGTTGAAAACCTTTAAGCTAAGAAAGATAACTCATTGGAAAGTAAAATTTTAGTTT